CCGGCCCTTCGAGACCGAGTTCATCTGCCAATTCATTTTCGACTAGAATGCAAACAGACCCTTCATCTATAAACGCATGCGCATTGATCGAATTTTCTTTGTTATAGAGTGTTACCGGAACGTATCGAAATAAAGCTTGCGTATTCTTCCCATGGAACATTACCGCCGTATTCTTAACATCCTTTTTAGCCTCTGAAATGGTGCCTTTAGTTTGCGTTGATCCATGTAATAGCGGGCTGTGAGGCATTTTACAACCGTCTATACCACACAGCTTTCTCGAGTTACATCGGCGTACGAAGTGTCGCTTGAAACAACAAATGCATAGTTTGGAATCACGGACAAATCGCCATCGTGCATCTCTGCTTAGCAGGCGAAAGGCACTACAATTTGAAAGGTGATGCTCTTCTTAACACTTTGGACAGCTACCTTGCTTTTCCTTATCGACGACCTCGTGTACCATTAATCTCTCCCCACTACGTCTGTGGCTACTTTTCAGTTCGGCTTGAGTAGGGGCATAGCCTAGCGGAGTTACTTGGCTAGCGCACGTTGCTAAGCTAAATAGCCATTCGTCGAATACCATCAGGTCCACTCTTAAGCGCGTCATCCTAAATCTACCCCAATCTAATTTTAGATCACATGGCAATTTTGTCAAGAGCTCGTTTATCAACATCGGATCGTTCAAATAATCGCTGAGCTCAATCGCTTGCATTGTCGCGCGGTAATTCTGCACCGCCAGAGCAAAGTTTATTAAAGTATCCATCTTTTCCATTTTCACAATCGGATGCTGTCTCAATTTCCGTTGCAAGGTATGATGTATAACATCAGGTCGCCCGTAAAGCATCCGCAACGTTTCGATGGCAAGCGATACCGTACTAGGCATCATCAATTTTTCCCGCACGGCTTCGAGTACCGGGCCCTTGAGGCACTTTTGCAAACGTATAAGGTTTTCCTGGTCAGTGAAACCACATCTTTCCGTAGACTGTTCAAAATTCGTGGTAAAGACGGACCACTCTTCAGGATTACCAGAAAAGGACGGTAGGTCCTTCGACATTACTTGGCGCGTAGCAACCTGTGAGGACGACAGAGTTATATCTGCAAAGGACGAGCGTGTCAGAGGAATTTGTGACGCATTAGTAGGATTTGCAAAGTTGTTGACGTAAGCAGACATCACGGGTGCCTTGCTATTAAACGCCCCCACGTTCCTATTCAAGTCTGCGTTTGAAAAAGTACCTCCCGTATTATGTCGACCTATACCCGGTAAGTAAGCGCTATTATGCGTGGAGGAACTAAGACCACCGACTCCACCTGCCCAAGAATATTGAGCCCTCATATACGCAGCGTCGTCGCCAACCCCAGCTAAACCCAATGAAAATCTAGCGTTGTTTGTTGAAATACTAATGGAGCAGATGCAAAGCTCGATGATGCATTTATATTAAAGGGCACGTGTTGTGAAATGTTACGGTTATGTATATTAAGTCCATCCAATTCTACATGAATATCCGGCAATGGATTTAAACCACCAACTCCGTGTGTTGCTGAGGGGTACGTCATATGGCACCAAGTTACCTGTGGTCTCTCTTCATCAATCGGAGCGATTGTTGGCGCAGTTGTGCGTAATGTGCGTGCACGCTTGCGTGGCTTCTCAGTACGTAAGATCCCCGAGCGGGTGCGAAGAGGCGAGGCAACGATCGTTCCCAGGCCATCCTCAGTCTGACGAGGAGTCGATGCGAAAATAGCACCTGTTGTTCCATTAGCTATAAATCCAACCGTCGTTGTGGGGGAAAGTGGTGGCGCGAATGCTTCAGTCGGCGCGCTCCCAGTAGCGAATACCGTGTCACCAGTAGAAGCGGGTATGCCAATTATTGCACCCGTAACGGTGGCAGAAGTGGAAGTAGCTACTTCGGTAGCCACACCAGCAGAGTGCATGCTGGTGACCTTTGATGAGCCAGAAGCTGTTTCGCCTGCTTCGCGGACACTCATTAGAGGGTTTGAGGTTAATTCGGAACACGTGTCTTGTGTTAGGCGCTCAATTGCAATAATTAGTAATTCCGGATTTTCGGAGATTCTCTGGTTTATCAAACTTGCAACGTGCTTCTGAGCAGATGGTCTTCGCCAAAGTATTTTAGAAATGTAAAAGCGAATGCCAATAAAACAATATTTTCAGCGACACGTATATGTTTGTACGAATAAGCGCTAAAATCTGCAATTTATTTAAGTAACGAAATTTACAAAGTTGTATGGTATTTGATTGCTACTCACACTTGTGTTTGGCTTTGCATAAAGCAAGGCATTCGATTACAAATATATTTTGCGATAAATTTATGTAAAATTTTATTATGTATAAGATTTACTTCTGCTCGGCTAGAAACCCACGTTGAAAAGGAAGGAAATTGAAGTCAAAGCGGGAGAGATCAGTGACAGCGCGATGACAGCAGATGAGCGAGAGTTATGACGTTGG